AGAAAACAAACATCCAAAGACTCCCCGGGCGCGCGTCTCTCTCCCTCGGAAGCGTAGGTTCGCCGACGAAACCTCCTCGCATCGGCGGCCGAGAAAGCCCTAGAAAGTTCGCGATAGAAGGGGGCGTGGTGATGCAGGGTTGCGTCATCCGTCGCGGACGGCCCTCGTACCATCTCGCCCTTTCCCCAGCCTTCGCTGCGTATCGCGCCGACGAAATGAAGAGAACTTTCTGGAATCTCGCGCGGAAGGTATTTATTCGAACAGCCGAGATGGGTGATCAGGAGAAGAAGGAAGTTAGCGCCAGTATGCGCGGGGTCATTCCGCCGCGTCTGTCGGTGAAGGTTTTGTCCTTAGTGACAAAGCAGGAGAAGAAGAAAGTATGCGCCAGAGTGCGTAGGGTGTTCCGCCTTGTGGGCGAAGCCTTTTGTCTTCCGTGACAAAGGAGGAGAAGAAGAGGATTACCACCTGAGGTGTGAAGACTCGAGCTAAAAGGCAAGAGTGTGTGTCTACCGCAATCGAGCGAAGACGCTTGGCAACAGCTGCGTGCGTGAAGCCGACGTGTTTCTGACGAAGAAGTTTGGTGTTTGGAGAGCGGCCAATTGAAGACGCGAGGTTTCCTGGAAAAGAAACTTCGGCGGCAGCGGAACGACAACAACGCTGGACTTTGAGTGAGTGATTCTCGGAAGAGTATCATCCAGATTCTTGTTCCAAGAACTTTGGAGTGAATGAGTTTTCTAACTCTTTAGTCTTTAAGTGTCTTGGTTGTTCGATGCATGCGACTGCATTGTAATGCGTATTGTTTTCTGTGTTCGTTGTTTCGAGTGTGGCTGATTGTAGTGTATAGTACGTTGTTTGATTGGTGACGTATTGTATTCAACTATTTCCGAGTGTGCATACTTTTGTATCGTTCTGATCTGCCATAATTGAGAATATAATTTTGTTTTGTTTATCAACTCTCGGCTCTGACTTGTTCTTTGGGCCACAGCCGGCGTCCGCTGGCGCGCCAAATAGGACCACTTCTAAATTTTCCACGCTTTCGTGGTGCGGTTCGGGGGGCTGGTACTTCGGCCCTTGGAATTAGCCCGGCGATCGCCTCCCGAATTAACGGGACCCGTGACACTGAGTTTCATCTGTAGCGATTTTCTGCCGACGTTGCCGCTTGCACAGGGTTTCCTTAGACCGGACCTCAGGGTCCGCTTGCCTACGTTTACCGCTTGCCTCCGTTTACGTTGCGCTCAGTGCGTTGAGACTTCCACTTCTCCACCCACTGCTAGGCTTTCTCGCCAGGTATCTAATGCTGAGGTCTAGAGTGTAGGGGGGAGAAGCCACAGCCACACACACACGCAGCCACTTACACAAGTTCAAATGCGCTAGCGAGTTCCACGCATTCTGACTAGGCGTTCCTTAATTGCGCGTCTGCGGAATCTTGATTCCCTACGACATCACGTGTTTCCTGAGAGTGCTGTAGCGGCTGAGGCTTTCGGTGAGATCACAGCGGCTTCGCTAGCCCCTTACACAGGGTGGACGTGCTAGCACGTTCTGGCAGTGCTTAAGCCGCAGTAAGTGTGGTCACGGTGCATATCAGATTGAACCCCGCCCTAAGATGTTTCGTGTTTAATATACCTCGGTGTTTCGAAGATACCTAGCCAGAAATTTTTTTCGGGGGGAGAGGGCACGTTTTTGATTTCGTGGAGGGCAGTCCCCTTGAAATGGTCATTTTTCGTCTTCTACGCCATGGCGACAAAATTCGGGGTGAAGGGGGGTTGGCGTAAGCATGGGGTGAGTGTGCCACACCGTGGCTACGCCCCTGGTGCTGTGTGACCAGCTGTAGGATTGCCTACGACTAAGTGAAAACTTCGAGCGAAAAAGACACTTTTTGAGGCTGCCGCAGACTGATTTATGTCTTTGTGAATTGCGGCGTCCCATTTTGAGGCTCGACAAACAACTTACCAGCTCTTATGTAGTAAGTGACTTGCAGTTCAAGTCAGAAGACGTCGTTAGATATTTCATCCACAATCTAAATGGTGAAGTGTAATGCCCCTCATGTAATGTCGCATGCGAGAACATTGAGGTATTGTGAATAAATAAATGAAGTGGTCACCATACAATGTGAGATGCGGACGCTAAAAAGACGCTGTATATATCTTTCCCAGTTGCTCAAAATATTTATCCATGCCCTCAAAAAAGCGCAAGCATACCACTGTGCAGCCAGCCCTTGACATTAAGCGCAACAAGAAACAAAATGTAGGTGAGAATGAAAACTCAGTTCCCATTGATTCTGGCCATGATGAACGAGTGTGCTCCACAGACGGCGCGGTTGCCATCGAAAGCTCTGCATCGTTCTTCGAAGAACTTTCGACCGGTAGAGCAAGCGAAAGAGTGCTAGACAGAAAATAATACTGCGGAGGCATATTCTGGAAGGTCTTAGATAATCTATAGGGGTGCTGCCTCCCCCTTCTTGGTTGCGCAGAGCATACGCTCTCATTCGCGCACGAAGTTAATTTTTCTATTGATATGCGGATTCATTTTTAGGCGAGGAATACAATTTTTTTACTAGAAAACAGTCGCAAGGTAGGTGTAGCAAACAAGAAAGCACGTCGTGTTTACTAATTCCTAACGCGCATTCGTGTTTTTATGTCACTGGCCTGTTATGCACGTACATAAGCAAATATCTCGCACGAAAAGGCTCAGTGTCCTGTTCATTCACCAATTATCTGTGTTTTACAGATTGCACAAAGTAAAAAATTGGCCCCGTATTTGCATGTTACAGTACAAGTGACGTCTAAAGACGATAATCTTGCATCTGGAGAGATTGAAAAAAAAACACGTTTCTTTGATGTTATGCGCAAGGAAATTGGTGAATGGTATTCTAAAGGCGCTGCGTTAGAGTGCCTCGAGCGTGCAGCGGAGGCGAACGATCGCAAGAAGTCACGTCACACGTGAGACATGAGCACTATCTGGCAGTTATCTTAGAAAAAGAAGCGCGTGGTGTGCGCGCCCGTCTCGGAGGCGATAAGGTGTAGAACGCAAGGCGACGGGTAGGTGCCACCACCTTAGAAAAGCGTTGGAAACACTTGCCTCTTCATACAAGCGTTGCATTGTCAGCGCAGCGTGATAAAGCTACGAGCTATATAATTATTTACGCCTTTTCTAGTAAAAGTACCCTTACACAGAGTATTGACGCGTTGCATGGGGCCGCAGATATGCGCAATAATTGCTCTTCATTTGACAATCGCAAAACTATGAACGCTGAGTCTGGAGCAAATTTGGTGGGCGCTGTGGATGGGGTCGGCAATTTGGGAGATCGCTAAGCGGGGACAAACATAAAACTGTACAGACAGACAGACAGGCAGACAGGCAGACAGACAGACAGACAGACAGACAGACAGACAGACAGACAGACAGACAGACCACAATTTTTGCGTCGAAGATCCCCAAGAAAGACTATCATCTTTAAAAGGATATTCCTTGAATACTTCATGCTAAGAAGAGCAGCGCAACGTCAGCGAATGAGATAAAAAAAGTGACATTCGTACGGCGGCGCACTCAGCGCTGCTGCCTTGCGAAGCTTCCCTGAAACTAGGCCGATCAGGGCAGCAGCGCCACCTAATGGGAGGAGATTGCAGACAGCCACACCTTGCGCCGCTCCCATTTGCAGTTTGACACCTGACAGAATCTAGTAACGTTGCTCAGCACTGTCGTCCTGTCATCACTGGTGTAGTCACAGCTTGGAGCAAACTCGTGTTTCCGAGAAGCTTGGGCCATTCCGCGCGGCACCCCAGATGACCCCATTGCACACCAGCAGCGTCGAGCAGCCTACACGTAGCGAGTACGCGCTTGCCGAGCGGCACCCGATTCCCCCATTTGACGTCACACGAGAGATGGCACCACACGGCACTAAAAAATTTCAGGGCACCCCCCTCCCCTATGCAAGAGAGTCATGCTACGTGGTTTCTATTATAATGCTACGTACTTTTCACTGCTAAAGTGAACCCCACGCATGTTATTTTAAATAAAACTTAAACTTCGCTGTCCCAACTTGAAATGTTGTGTTTCTGCTAGCAGTGATGTCGGGATCTCCACTTAAATCCGCCAGGAACGTAAAGTTTTTGACAGAAAACCAGTGGTAGGAACGTGCTCCTGTATAACACAGCTACCGAACTGGAATAGACGTACGACGCTTAACCATAAAAGTCTGACGTCACACAAAAAGTAAACAAATGCACTTGGATGACTAACAATGCAAATTTTTTTTTGGATTGGACAACGATGGCAGCTGGCGTAGCATTTATTTTAAGGCTGTAACCGATCACCTTAAACGAAAGTAGTATAGCCAGGCATTGGAGGATAGAAGCTAAAATTTGAAGGACTCCTTTCTTTTGTTAGACACAATATTGATGAAAACGGACAGAAAGCACTCCCAAGCAAAGTATAGGGGATATAATCAGTAGTAAGTGTAATGTAAGTGTGAAGAAAGAATAGTGAAATGAAACTATAACGCCGTGGGCAGGAACAGATTCTGCACATTATTCAAAGGTCACCGATTCGGCCCCTGCCTATGGCAAGTTATATGTTGGTTGGCAGTGCTCTCTGTCAGTTCTAGATAACAGCCAGGCATTGTGTCACAAATCACAGTGTGTCAGGATATAATGTGGTCCCTGAGATGCAATAGAATGCTAATGCATAAAGTCACATACTTTAAGAGGAACTACCTCAAAAGAGTTTTTACCCAGAAAATTTCGGCAAAGTGGACACGTCTTACAAATCTGTGCCTTACTAATTATTAAATGTAATAAGTCCATGATCACTAGTTGACGATTCTGCGTTTAGATTTCTTGCGTGTATAATAATATCGACTGATTGCAGTAATCGAGCTCAAGGACCATGTTTATGGTATGTGTAATTTTTATTGATATTTAGATTATCTAAAACAGACCTTCGTATAAGTTATGTAGTTGCATTTGTGATATTTCTAAGATTAGATAACATGCTTCTTTTACCTGGTTTGCAAGTAGGCACATCGCCAGGAATTCTTCCGAATCTGCACACTGGCGTTCGACCATTCTTCTTCTTCTGCAGCGTATGGTAGGGTTTGCAGGTGACATTGAGCACATCATTAGGAAGCAGATACAAGAATTCTGGCTCACCACCTGGTACACGAATGTTCTTGCACGGCTCTGCAATGAACAACATAAAATATAAATTTATTAAGACGAATAAATCCAGTTCTATATTCCAGGACGTTTTAACCCTTACGTAGCCTTGTGGTAGACTGTTACCGAGGCTCTATTCGCTGTTGTGAGGGGGCGGAAGGGCGTACGAAATGCGTTCTATTTTATTAACTTGTCCACAGCGCAAAGTAACGTGCGTGCTGCTCTCGTCCAGCTTTTTTTTTCTTTTTTTCATTTTTTCAAAATGAAGGGTGAAGCAACGTCACTATAATGAGATCCAGCACATTTAAGAGGCGGGCACATTCCCCATTTCGGAACATTTCAAGAGTGACGATTATCAGACTTCTTGGCTGCATAAATGCGCATTTTGGCAGTGCCCCCCCCCCTCCAAAAAAAAAAGATAGACTGCTTGACTGCTAGTGAAACATATATGAGGGAGTGAGGGGGACGAAAGAAAAGGCCTATTAGAGATAAGGATTTATGTACTACCGGACGTGAGGTCGGGCCATTTGGCTCTCTATTAGCAAAACCAGTGGACGCACGACGGCAAGAGGTACCGACCTTGGTACCTGACGTACTGAAGGCCGATACTCTGCCGTTTTGATATCCTTGTGACCTTCCTATCAGGTGCGAAATTTGGAGAAGGAAACTTGTTCTCCTCTAATCCTAGCTGTTTTTCTGAGTACTTCCCTACACTCGATAAGTAGGGCCGGCAATTTTTTTTTTGGTAAGGATAGAGACAAGCAACGCATGCAATAAATGCACTCACGTTCTGTGCACCAAGGACCCGTAGGTTGCCATACGCCACCCTGACAGCGGAGTGGCCTATGAAGTGAGTTGCCGACGCCGTCTATGAACTCATACCCACTTTTGCACTCAACAAATATTCTTTCAGAATGAGCCACTTGACTTCCAGGCTGCAGTTCAACCTGGACAAAATCATTTGTGATAAAAGTAGGTGTGATAGTGTTTCTGAAGTATGAGGCGCAAATACACAAGACTCAATAACGCTCTGAGTCTCGCAAAAGTTATGAGGTGCATCAGAGCATCTGCGTTGAGGTTCGATTACAGAGAATATGAAAGTAAAACGAAGCAGTATCGAAGCAGGGAATCAAATCAGCTGGAGTAAGTGATCATGTCAACAGCAACAACAACAACAACAACAACAACAACAACATGATGTAGTAATAGTACTCTCAATATGCTTGCAAAAGTATATCACAGCGTATATTTCAAACTTTACAGCTAGCCAGTGTTTCTCGTGAGAACGCATTCTGAACATAAGATTTGATACGCGTTGTGGTAGCAGTACGTGACAGAAGAATGTTGAAGCGTTTAAGGTGCCCAAGCTGTGCACCGAAAATAAGTGTTCTTTAGATATAACAATTGTAGGAATTCGGCAATTTTCGTATGACATACTGAAAGTAAAATGCGGAAAAATACAAAAAAAAGGAAAGCGAATGTGCTATAGTCACTATCTACGTTGTTTTTTGCGCTCTTCTCTCAGCGCGTACTTTCTGACGTAGTTATTATGAAATAATAGTTTACTATAGCTTTCCAGAATATCTTCTCCCACGAAAGTGTCGGCTGACAGACATGCCAGAGCTTTATAATAGCGAGCACGTTGTGTACGAGTGCCTTTGTTTGTCCTACTCCTACAAACTACGCCGATGTTTTAGAGATTCTTTTGAACTTCCCATGCAGAAAAAGACGTAATGGAGATGAAGAAAGGAATCCCGGCTGCAGCGGCTGCATTTCTAATGGAGGCGGAAACGTTGTAGGCCCATGTGCTATGACTTAGGTGCACGTTAAAGAACCCCAGGTGATCAAGATCTCCGGAGCCCTCCACTTTGGCGTTTCTCATAACCATATGGTAGTTTTGGGACGTTAAACATCACATAATAATCAAATCATATCAATCAATCCATCAATCAATCGAGAATATGAAAGGCGATTGGCTTGACTGGCTGAATTTGCACATCTGTTGCTACTCTTTTTGGCGAACACTTTAAGACAAAAAAGATAAAAATATATGTATACCTAATTAGGTTCTCCCAACAAATATTTAGCACTTGACATTTCTAAAATGATGAATGAGGTGGAGGGGCGAGGGGGGCAAGTTAACGAGTTTACTAACTTAGGGTTTTTAAAATGCCTGTTTTTACACACATCCTAATTTCACGTCTGGTAGCTTATTTATGACAATTGTGATGACGTATGAAACGGAACCAAAGAAACTTCTGTTATAACGCTGACAATGAATTTGAGGTCTTCACACTACATTACCGTGTGTTAAGAGTACTTTTTTTACACCCAGTTTGTGGGAGGCCTGATTCGCTGGGCGATGGGACAGAGCCACTAGAGCAACTGCCCCCGCACTGATGCCTAGTTGGTTTATGAGGCTTGCAATGCGAAGGGCTCAGTCCCAGTGGTGGGCGGGGCGGTGAGAGGCGGACCAGCCACCGCTCCATATATACTGCCATATACTGCCATATCATGCTTGCGCGCTGAAATTATGATACCATCTGCCTATTCCACAGTTGCGGAACACAATACAAAGGAGCTCTCTAATAGGCCCTGCTACACTTTTTCAAGTAACCTTCAAACGGCCTAATAAAAGGTTCCACTGCCTCACAAACCAACCACCGCAAAAATTTTTAGAATCCGTCATATATGTTTACAGATATGTGTAGCACACTGTAATTGCATGCGTTGTCTCTTCTCGCAACCCGAAGAGTGTGCCGAAAGCTAAACATGGAAGGATGGCACTTGGGAAAAAGGTTCCGTCACGTGCGCGTCGTGCCTTCCACGGCGGCCACAGTAACTATGGAACCCACCATGGAGGTACCATTACATCACACGAGTGAAGCCAAGTGAAGTACATTGTGCCAACCCAACACATGATCGAAAAGTCCCAGCCCGGTTTTATGCTCTCGGTCATACAGCTGTTTGTAAGTACACAAGAGGGAACTCAGGTCCTAGTGTCGATGGGAGCTGCAGGGCATGGCGCTTCAGCGAGAATGAGAATAATGGGTAGTCCATGGATTTGCCTAATGTTCCCACTTCTTTGCCCGTTGGGCTCCGCGTGACTTGGGGCTGCTTTTTAATGAAACGACAAACGGCAAATGATCGACAGTTCCACTTCACCCCTTTTACATTTAGGCTCGCCAATTCAAATCGGGTCACGAAGTTCAACTGTTTGTAATTTATTCTAAACAACACCAAAACACTGCAATAAAGGAATCCACAAGTGCGCTCGCAGGCCGCCAGCACGAAGGCTAGGCAAATTCATGTACTATACCAATATTCCCATGGTCGCTGAACAATCGCAGCACCAGAATCCCCTCTAGGTAATTTGAGAAAACTCTATGCTCTCAGGAAGTGTTCTGTTTTCGAAACTCCTTCGTGAGCCGGTCGGTCTGCGCCGAACAAGCGCGTTTCGAATTAAAGATACCGGGTGCCACACCCCAAAGTCTCGGTAAGTCTCGTTGCTTGCCTGATCTCGCTGCAAAAGGTCACGTGTTGGGCCACCACGGCTAGCTTCAAAACGAGGCGGCATGCCAAAACTGACTGCTTGACGAAATGCTCCCTCCTTTCTTTTCCTTCCTCCATGCAGCCCACAGTCATTTCGGTGTATGGGATCATTTGTATAATCAAGCCGGTACAATTTATAGGTGATGGTAATGATCAATTTTAAAGTCCAGACAGCTGATGCGCTATAAGGCCGGGCTCGCGTGTGCTCGCGAGCCTCGAGTACCAATCGGCAACGTTTTCTAATCATGCTCAAACTCTGTTGCAGGGTCCCTTTTGAAGGGACACTGAACATCAAAACGATGTTGCGCGTGTTAGTAAAGTACAATTTCTACAATCCCCCCAAACAACACTCTTGCCACGGTAAGATGCTCAGTAATTTAAAAAATGCCCGAAAAGAAACTGCGGGTGGCGACCCCACTTTGAGATTCATGCACCAACACCATGACGTAAACATTATGAAGGAGTCTACTGGCCATGGGTCCTACGTAGCTTCCAATCGATAAACAGGAAGTACACTCTGTGGGCGCCATCGAATTTGCATACAAAGCTTTCAAAACATTTCATCGAGCAATTGCCACACTAATACCGAAAAATACATTTTAAATTTTCATACATCATTTCGGGAGATTTTGGCACGAAATTATAAAAATTGACTACAACCTTAGCTCGAAAAGTGCAGGAAGTGAATCTAAATCAAGTCATAGTTCATCGTTTGTGTCGCTTTAAGTGAAGGTAAATTTCTCCAGAGAACTCAGCTTACGAAAAAAAAACAGGCATTACCTTTGTAGCCTGATGAGTCGGTCTGGCGTATGACAGCAGCACTGTGGTCAGCTTGTACGACGCAGTTTACTGAAAACATAAGGGATAAATCTGTGTACTTGATATCTCATTCGTCTCAGAAAAAAATTGCGCCTTGAAGGCTTCCAATATTCTAAAGCCATTCGACACATCTGTAACGGCGCGCACCTTTTTCAGCTATTACTCGGCAAGGCAATAAACACTGATTCTCTCGTAGCAATCAATAAACCACAAAGCAACAGAAACAAACAAGCACTTACCAATCTGTTGGTATATAATAATAATAATAATAGTAATAATAATAATAATAATAATTATAATAATAATAATAATAATAATAATAATAATAATAATAATAATAATAATAATAATAATAATAATAATAATAATAATAATAATATTATATTATTGTTGTTGTTTTTGTTGTTATGACACTGCTCCACATCAAGGCGTTCAGGACTAAGGGCACCTAGTTAATTGTAAATAGAGAAGAGTCTTCTCTCTCCAACATATATCCTGTGATATCCTGCCATTTTGACGAACTCAACACCTTATTCTTTTATTTATTTCAAATGCGCGTGCAGGAAATGAACACGACGCAAGGAAAAAAACAGGGGCAAAAAATCTATGCTATTGTCATCTACAGATTTTCTCAGATTATCGATAACGTGACAAAATAAGACGCCACGTATAGGACCATATGCGGTGTCGACAAGATTGGTAATATAATTACGAAGCCAACATACGGATATCGAGAGTGATGATTAGAAGCCGGATTTCAGGCAAATGCCTATTTTATTCATTGCAGTTTTATTTTGCCGTTTTGATATAGGAGCATGAATGAGAAGTTAGGAAGGCTTTTAGAGTGTTTTTATAGTGCATATATACCTATTTTCAAAGTAGGGGCACTTATGACCAATATTGAATCTCAAAACTTGCTTTCGAGTTCAGTTGGAGACCGCTATTCATGTTACCGGACAAAATGGACCTTTTGAATCTCTATGGGGTGCAACCCACTTCTCTAGTTCAACAAAAGTTGGTACAGGAGCTGCTAGCCGCATTGTAATACAACGCACCGGCTACATTACGCCACTACACTGACATGGTGACATGGAGGGAAGAGGGGGAGGAGCAAAGGGAAAAACGCTATTTCTACAACCCTAAATGGGAGCACGTTACAGCGTATACAAGGTAACAGAAAGAGGGAAATAAAGCGGGGGATAGATCAGGGGAAGAAGACTGTGGCGTCCATGGTCGAATACCTGGTGGGTGGGTTTTTTGCCAGTTATTCAGTCCAGTCAGTCGAACCTGAACTTGGCAACGTTTAACGCTAGAACCTTATCTAGTGAGGGAAGTCTAGCTGTACTATTAGAGGAGCTAGAGGGTGTTAAATGGGATATAATATGGCTCAGTGAGGTTAGGAGGACAGATGAAGCCTATATGGTGCTACAGAATGGGCACATCCTTTGCTATCGGAGCTTGGCAGACAGAAGAGAACTGGGAGTGGGGTTTCTAATTCACAGAAACATAGCTGGCAACTAGAGGAATACTATAGCATAAATAAAAGGGTGGTAGGTATCGTAATTAAACTCAATAAAAGATACAAGATGAAGGTGGTACAGGCTTACGCGCCTCCATCCAGCCGTGATGACGCTTCAGTTGAAAGCTTCTATGACGACGTGGAATCGGCAATGAGTAAGGTAAAAACACAGTATACTATAGTGGTGGGTGACCTTATAGCAAGGTAGGGAAGAAGCAGGCTGGAGACCAGGCAGTAGGAGATCATGGCATCGGTTCTGGAAATGCCAGAGGGGAGTTATAACAGAATTCGCAGAACGCAATAATTTGCGGATTTTAAATACCTTCTACGGAAAACGAGGAAAACGCAAGTGGACATGGAGGAGCCCTAATGGCGAAAATAGGAACGAAATAGACTTTATAATGAGTGCACACCCAGGAATCGTGCAGGATGTGGAAGTGGTTGGCAAGTTACGATGCAGTGACCCTAGAATGGTATGGTATTGAATTCGCCTAGACTTGAAGAAGGAACGACAGAAACTGATACGCAAGAAGCCAATCAATGAGCTAGCAATGAGAGAAAAAAATACAGTAATTCAGAGTGTCGCTTCAGCACAGGTACTCGGCTCTTAGTGAGGAAACCAACCTTAGCGTAGATACAATGAATGATAATCTGACGAGTATCATTACGGAGTGCGCAGTAGAAGTTGGAGGCAAGGTAGTTAGACGGGACACTGGCAAGCTTTCCCAGGAAACGAAGAATCTAATTAAGAAGAGTCAAATCATGAAAGTCCCAAGTTCAACAGACAAAATAGAACTGGCAGAACATTCAAAGTTAATTGATAGGCGTAAGGTATGCAATGTAAGAAGGTATAACATGGAGAGATTTGAACACGCTCCGAAAAACGGAGGAAGCGTCAAAGCAGTGAAGAGGAAACTTGGGATAGGCGAAAGTCAGATGTATGCACTAAGGAACAAACAAGGCAAAATAACTACCAATATGGATAGGATAGTTAAAATAGCGGTGGAGTTTTACACAGATCTATACAGTAGCCGAGACAACCACGACCCTAATACTATAAGAACTAGCAGTAACTCAGACGACACCCCACCAGTAATGATAGAAGGAGTCCGAAAAGCTTTGGAGAGCATGAAAAGAGACAAAGCTGCTGGTAAGGATCAGGTGACATCAGATCTGCTGAAATATGGAGGACAGATTGTGCTGGAAAAACTAGCCACCCTGTTTACGAGGTGTCTCCTGACGGGAAGAGTATTCTTGGAAGAACGCTAACATCATCTTGATACATAAGAAAGGAGATGACAAGGACTTGAAGAATTACAGGCTAATCAGCTTGCTCTCTGTAGTATACAAGCTATTTACAAAGGTAATTGCTAACAGGGTAAAGAAAACATAAGAATTCAATTAACCAAAGGAACAAGCAGGATTTCGAACAGGCTACTCAACAATTGACCACATTCATACTATCAATATGGTAATAGAGACATGCTCAGAATATAACCAACCACTATATATAGCCTTCATAGATTACGTGAAGGCGTTTGATTCAGTATAAATATCAGCCGTCATGCAGACACTGCGGAATCAGGGCGTAGATGAAGTATATATAAACATTCTGGAAGAAATGCGCAGGGGATCAACTGCTACCATAGCGCTTCATAAAGCAAGCAACAGAATACCAATCAAGAAGGGTGTAAGGCAGGTAGACACAATCTCCGCAATGCTATTTACCGCGTGCTTACAGGAAGTTTTCAGAAGCCTAGAATAGGAACAGTTAGGGATAATAGGTAATGAAGAGTACCTTTGTAACCTGCTCTTCGCCGACGACATTGCATTGCTGAGTAACTCAGGGGACGAATTGCAACTCATGATCACGGAGTTTGACAAGGAGTGCAGAAAGGTGGGTCTTAAAATTAATCTGCAGAAAACGAAAGTAATGTATAACAACCTCGGAAAAGAGCAGCGCTTCGAGATTGGTAATAGTGCACTTCAATTTGTAGAAGACTATGTCTACTTAGGGCAGGTGATAACCGCAGAGCCGAACCACGAGCCTGAAGTAACTAAAAGAATAAGAATGGGGTGGAGCACATTCGGCAAGCACTCTCATATCATGACAGGTATATTGCCACTATCTCTGAAGAGAAAGGTATATAACAGCTGTATCTTGCTGGTGCTTAGCTACGGAGCAGAAACTTGGAAGCTTACAAAGAGGGTTCAGCTTAAATTGAGGACGACGCAGCGAGCAATGGAAAGAAAAATGGTAGGTGTAACATTAAGAGACAAGAAGAGATTAGAGTAGATTAGGGGACAAACGTGGGTTAATGATATCATAGTTGAAATAAAGAAGAGGACATGGACATGGGCCGGGCATGTAGCGCGTAGACAGGATAACCGCTGGTCATTAAGGGTAACAAACTGGATTCACAGAGAAGGAAAGCAGGTTAGGGGGAGACAGAAGGTTAGGTGGGCAGATGAGATTGAAAAGTTGGCGGGTATAAATTGGCAGCAGCAAGCACAGGGCCGGGTTAACTGGCGGAACATGAGAAAGGCCTTTGTCCTGCAGGGGACGTAGCCAGGCTGATGATGATGATGATGATTCAGTCCAGATACAGAGATGCAAGGAAAGGCAGGGAGGTTAACCAGATGTATGCCCGGTTTGCTACAATCCTGTTGGAGGAGGATTAAAGGAGGGGGGAAGACCAAGGACGACAAAGAATAAAATTGCACAGTATCAATGTCACACTTCGGGAAGCACATCCGGTCTACGGGAGCTTACTCAGGTTTTGTTGAGTTCAGACACTTGAGTAGCTATTCAGTTACTTTCTGCGCTATCGAACCACACGTCTAAGGGCCTAGTACAGTCCTCAGGAATACAGTCCAGTGTTGCCAAAGTATTGAAGCACCTTCTTGCAGACCTGAGTGTGGTTGGAGGCAGGAAAAAGAAGGTACCTCTGTGCAGCCGCAGGAAAACAGAAAACGATTGCGAAACCATGTACCGTCACGAAAAAGTAGCTCGTATGTATAAAAAAGCCCAAAAGTGCACGTGGATTTTGTTTTGTTTGCACTTTACTTCTTATACGACGCTTCACTAGGGCACAAGAAACTTTTTTAGATACTTGAAGTTGCTGCGTGCGCGATGAAGAGTTCTATACCACGAGAGTTTTTAATTATTTCAATAAATTTGGTGAAAACATGATGTGAAGAGGTGAGCTTAAAACCTTTACCACGTGTCTCATGCAGATTTCGCAAGCACAATTCTATCCTTGCCTTCTTTTGTATTAGAGCAACTTGGCGCCGGATGATATCACACGACGCCGCAGTCGCATGAAGACGTCACGCTCACGCAAACTTACAAGCGGACGTCATGCATTCCCAACATAGGTCGTGCGTGCAGGTGGTATAGTGCCGTTTCCGCGTTCTCTGCAGCGTATGCTTCTTGTCTCTGTGCGATTGATCCCTTCGCTCACGCATGTTCGGAGAGGCGGGCATGAATCGTGTATCTTTAACACGATACAATGCGTTGTTCCGCTGGAACTGAGAAAACTAACGCAAACGAAATGAATGCCGCTCTATCTCGCATCTCGCTTGACTCAAAGTAAAGAAATAACCACCCAAGCACTTCACACAAATGGGTAACCTGCAAAATATAAAACGTGCGGTACCGGGGTTTAGGTTCAACCCAACGCTTCACTGAAGCCCTCTACAATTGTTTCTTATACATGTTCGCGCTTCTTAGTGAGGTTAGACACATGTTCGGCATGGGTTTACCTCAGTGGTAAATAAACATGCCACACATTGTGCGTCGCGTGATCGTGGTCATGAAGGAGTGTAATATGACCAGTTAAATTTGTTTCGCAATGCATTATTACAGTGTTTGTTTTCGAACTAACGGTGGTCACAGGCGTCACAGCCGAAGTGGAAGTTCCACTGGTGAGGCTCCAACATAAAGCGTGCGTTCACCATGTCGAATGCGCTCCCACAAGCTGACGCTGGTTGCCCGCAACGCCGCATGTTCGGCGTGGCGTTATAGCAAGCATTTGACATCGTGCGCCAACCCGGTGGCATGGCTTGCAGGATCCGCCAGGCATCTGCGCTTGCATTCCCGTTCGCGATTTAGCACGCCTTGAAGGTTGCCGCATCATTGGTAGGCAGTTGCTGCGCGCGGCACATCTATTTCAATCTCTCGGACGACGCACGTGTATGGTATGAGAACCGGGCAGGTATCCTAACGTCATCGGGAGACTTCAAACGCCAGCTTTTGTAATTCCTGACAGTCTGTATAAATTCCCCGTGCTGCCTTTCGGCCTCTGTTCCGCTCCGGTCCAACGAATATATTCTCGTTGACCACAAGTAGAAAAGTTAACTGCGTCCATCTCTATGATGTCGTTATCTAATGCGAATATATATATATATATATATATATATATATATATATATATATATATATATATATATATATATATATATATATATATATAGTTTGTATCGTCCCACTGCTTGTGCACGGCAACAAACTCGTAGTGAACTATAGCCAATTTTTTACATCCTCAAGTGCAGTGCCATGAAAGGGATTGGCATCGGCGGCGTCAATAAGGTGCAATGCGTCAGCGTTGTGCCATTCGTACCGGTTGAGTTGGTGTTCGTCGGTATGATGGAAGCTGCTATGTTGTCTGGGAGCAGTCCAAACTCGGGGGCTTGTCCCCGGATCACTCTCCTGGCACGGTGCACAGAAGTGAACCCTGGTACGACGGAGGGGTAGGGTGCATAGATTATCCAGCCCGTCCACCAGTTCGTCAAGCACTAGAGGCCGTAGAGACAAGACATCAACAGCGAGACTGTGAGGCACAAACGTGTGTCGTGAACGAAGAGCCAATACACTGCGTCATTGTCTCCTTCGGCATTTTTCACTGGCCACGGCTTCGACTGTCGGGGTTCGACTGTCGAGCTGACACATTCGATAGTTCGCGCTCGTCCTGTGTTCTTTTCGTAGACCCTGTGTGCATGAGGAACGCTCCAGCAGTATCGAGTTGCTTCCCGTTCATCGTGCGACGTTCTGATTCGTTGCTATCGATTTAATTGCTTCCCGGTTGCCTCCAGGTTGGCAGCTTGCGGTCATCTCCACCAGATGCCATTGGTGTTTCTCGTTGGCGGAGCAGGACGGTCGACATTGCCGGGATCTGTCACCGAAGTGCCGATAGTGTTAGCACCAGCCGTGCTCAGTAGGCTACTATAACGAGGTGGTGTTACGGTCACTGCTTTGCGATTGGTTTTGCTGACGCGTTGAAAGTCGCTCACTGACGAATGCAACTGAGTTGTTGATGAGGATATGTGGAGATCAACTGCAATTTAGTGCAAGGCACTGAAAGTGATTGATACTTTATATCAATGAATGAACGGTGCGAACACACTGGTAATTTTATTTTGAGAGCCCTTAAAATCAGCGCGTCTTACAAAGTGAATGAAGGCCAGTGGGCGAATTGATAGATATGTGGAGTTCAACGTCCCAAAACCACCATATGCTTATGAGAGACCCTGTAGTGGAGGTCTCTGGGAATTCCGGCCGCTTGCGGTTGTTTAAATTTGACCACATGGGCATACAGCATTTTATCTTCCATTGAAAATGCAGCCGTTTCCGCCAGAATTTGATTCCGTGACGTGCGGAACAGTAGCCGAGTGCCTTAGCCATTAGAACACCACGGCGGAGAGCTGAGTTGTTTATCGATATCGTCCATACAGCACGCAAGGTTCGTGGTGTTCAGCGGAACAGCGACAGCCTGGATGGTGGGGATGACTGCGGCAGATAGACTTCGGTGATGCGATCAGAGACCTCGGCAAGTTCATTGAGAAGTAGCCTAAATTGAGCCTGCATAATTGCGTGGACATGTGGTGGAAGTTGTTGAAGCCAGAGTGCTCGCAGGACAGATACGCATGACATGTTACGCGTAAACGCGTGCATGAGACGACGGTGCTGGGACGATTTCTGCTCGGTAAGCTCTGCGGTCAGACGTTGTCACACGTTCTGTCCATCCTAGGGTGATAGACGACGCATGAGTTCAGTCTTGAGGCATTCATAATGGTTGGCCACCGGTAGGTTGGTAAGGATATCTCGGACGTCATTGGTGTAGCGGGCGTTCAGGTTCGCGACGACTTAATCATAGCGGCTCCAGTCATGTGTGATGCCTTGCAAGGAAAACTGGGCCTCAACTTGGGTGAACCAGACCTCGGGTGACTCCAACCGAAACGGCGGAAGTGTATCAGCCACATGCCAATAGGCAGCATGTGGGATACCATCTGTAGACACTCTGACGTCCTCAGCGGAGCCGGCAGGTGCGCCTGGGTTGTGAAGGCGTCGCGAAAATGTTGTTGCTGGGATTGCAGTTGCTGTTGAAGTTGTGACAGTTGCTGAAGCAGAGCGGTAAGGGCTTCTTCATCAGACAGGGTGGTGTGGTTTGTTGGGTTTCCGGGTCGGCGGATGTGGGGTGCCAAGTTGACGAATGATGAATTCCAACATGAAACGTAATGATAGTTTATTAACGTGGTAGCAGCGGCGGCTAAAACATGCCTACCCAGAGCTCTAAGGGTTCGAGAAAACATTCATTAAACGAGATATGCAGCTTGGGTTCTAGAGCCAGCAGTGGTGACGTAAGCCTCCGGTGAAACTGCGGTGGCGCTGTCTCTTATGGAAAGCGTGTGGCAGCAAGTGGTCGCGTCACGCCGGGCAATCCAGTGAGCAGACAGAGGCTGCGCAGGTTTGCGCGCATTAGTCGCCAAAATTTTATGGTTTAAAGCTAGTCACCCACTACAAAAGGCGCACACGTTACTGTGCCTATTTCCACGTAGTCGGCCATGTAGTGGGTGTAAAGCAAGTTTGGAAAGATTTCACTCACTAAGCGCTTGAAGCACGCACTAGAAACAGGATATCGCTGTCATGTTCAACTCTTATAGGCGAGGCTTAAGAGTTCCCCATTTTTTTTCCCTCAACGCTTCTTTCGGGCGCTCCGCACTGTCTTCCGGTCATGACTGACGTAGTGAGAGCTCGGAGCAAACTCGTGTTCCACAGAAGCTCGGGTCATGCCACGTAGCACCCCAAGAGAGACTGGACGGCGGCGTCGAGCAGCTTTCACGTAGCGAGTGCCCGTGCGAAAAGTGGTCCTTTATCTGACGTTACAGGCGAGACGGCGCCACGCAGAGATCTCGGGTCGAACGAGATCCGCCTCGCGAACCGCAGCGCGCCTGCCATGCACTTGTGCAAGAAAGTCATTCTAGGCTATTTCACTTCACTTGTTCTCATGAGTACTTTCTTACTGCTAATGCAAAAACCACGCATATTACTAGCTAAAACTTCTTTACTCTTACTTAAAATGTTCTGTTTCGCCTAGAAGTGGTGTCGAAATCTTTGCTGAAATTAGCCAAGAACTTCAGATATTCAACTGGAAACCAGTGGCAGGAACGTGCGTCGGTATAATAAAGCAGAACCACCGACCTTATGATGCACACCGTCACACAATACTTGACGTCGCTGAAATAAGCGAACGCTTTGGATTTGTGTGTTTTGTTTACCATGCAATGTCCACATGTATAGATACTTTCTGTAACAAAAAGCTGTGTGTCTGAGCATATTCTGCTTTGTTGAAGTGTTATCTATGTCCACTGTCTTTGAGAATAAATATCTCTAAATGGACTCGCAAGCCAAATTTTCTCAGTGCGCGTAGCTTAGATTTATTTTTTTAGGCTGTAGGCAAAAGTGGGTTGACTGGTGCCAAAACCGTGTAGCCAGGCTATGTTGCCCGAGCCACTCTGCGTCAGCAAATAATATGATACCTGAAATGCAACTAGGACACTGCTTTATATTGTCGAATGCCTTGACTGTAATTATCACGAAAGAGCTTTCACCCAGAAAATTTTATCAACGTGGATATGTCTTGAAAATTTGTGGGTACAACTTGTCACTTCCAATTAGTGCCGTAAGAAATTAACAAAAATGTAGTCAGCCAAAGCTCCCTAATTGTGTGATTATGTGTTTAGATTTTTCGCGCACTTGATTAATACCCTCTGTTCGCAGTTATAGAGCACAAGAACCAGATCTGTGCTACCTGGTTTTTAAAAAAAGTCATATCACCTAAAAGATTTTCGTATAAGTTGTATAGTTGCGTTCGCGGTATTTGCGAGAATAAAGACCAGGCTTCTTTTACCTGGTTTGCAAATAGGCACGTCGCCATTAATCCTTCCAAATCTGCACACGGGCATTTGACCGTTCTGTTTTATCTGAAGCTCATGGTACGGCTTGCAGGTGACATTCAGCACGTCGTTAGGCATCATATTCATGACTTCTGGCTTGCCACCCGGTACGTGAACGTTCCTGCAAGGCTCTGCAATGAACAATATGAAAATAGTGATTCATTAGAGAGATAAATAATTCTTCTCTCATGCACCAGAGCATTTTAGTCTTAATGTAGCCCTGTGGTAAACTGTTACAGAGACGTCATATACGAAGGGTGGCGCAAGGAAGCCCTCCCATTCTCCCACTTCCAACAAACTAGCCTACAGCTCAAATCAACCAGCATGATCCCCTTGCACGTTTTTCTTAATATAAAGAACTATGCAATATTTTTTATATGACGTCCTGTATTTCCAAAAGGCAGAAGTGTTGCCGCTGGTAGCTATCCTTTTTTGTAGACTAGTTGGTTTATACTTGAAAAATCCACTTGCTGCGCAACTTGAAGCGCAACGACAACAGAACTGCGCTATTTCCTGTCTCCCTTCTCGTTTTTCTTCAAGTTTGTGCAGCAAGTCAATTTTTCACGCTGGTAGCTATTTTGTGCTAAACTGATCTCTTCACAAAACCGTGAGGTGGCGAAAAAATTGAGTTTGGCACCATTGACACTTTATGGTTAACTTTTACGTCTGTTTTTGTGCATTAGGTACACAGTTTTAAAATCATTGGCAGATAAAACAAAGTATTTCCCAGATGTTCTGCCGTGTCAGCTGATGCACTTGCACGTCCACCCTCCACCAGCAAGCTGGTGCGTATCGAGGCACCCTGCACGGCACGCCAGTGAATACATAATGGCGAAGTTGCGTGCACATTGGCAAATATGTAGCTATAGGACTGTGCTCAACCTATTCGCTATCTATGCAGATGCTGCGATAGAGGTCCCGACTCAGATGCTTAGTGCATGTTTTCGTTTGAACTTGACAAAACAGGTATCTGCAAAAAAAAGCTGGACTGTTCATCTTAATCAATTTCGCTATCTGAAGCTGGGCTTGTATTGTGTGCGCTACAATAATAAAATTTAATCAGCAACTTCACAAAAAAGTTACTTCCAACTTATATCATTCGTTCCGGTTCGTTGGCTGAAACGTTCCAAATTGACCCTGTAAGTGGCAAGAACTAGCTTTGTCTGTTATACGTAAACTATATGCGTAGTGCATTCAATTTATTGAATTTGATTCATTTATATGTAACGTTTTTAAACGAGAAGCATTTCTTAGCGAACTTCGGGGACTTTGAGCATATCTATCTATCTATTTATCTATCGATCATCTAGCCGGCTACGTTTCGATGTTCTCGTGGTCACCCCCTTAACTTGGCGTGAACCAAAATTAGCATGGGAGGGTAACATGGTTGGACGAATATGACGCGCTGCTCAAGACCTAAATAATGTCACAATCCCGTCCCGTACGTCGTTAAACACGACCCACCAGACAGTGGCACATGCCCGCGGGCGGGTATGTGCCGCTGGTATCCGGGTATGTGCCACAGGAAACTGCCACTTAGTATTTACCCAGAAACGACAAGAACACACACGAGCAATTTTAACGTGCGAGCGTTAAGAAATAACCAAAATTGCTAGCATCAACCCAACGAATGCAAAGAATAAATGCCAAGGTCGCAGCTGGAATCAAACCCAGGCATTCTGCGTGGCAAAGAAATATTTTACCAGAGAGCTACGCCAGATCTCGGAACTTCGTTTCAAATAGACGTTAATCTTCGTAAAACGTCAATGGTGAATGCAGTACTGCCTATCCAATTTTATAAACATTACACATGTGCTCCTTTCTACATCCGTCACGTCGGGTTAACGTCCCTTGTGGTTAGTTGCCATGCGCTGAAGTTGATTCAATTGGCAGTGTTCAGGGCCAGCATCCTCGCAAGCATCAGCGCTTCATATCAGCTTCTGGTGTTGCTAATACGTATGTTCCAGTTGGCATCGTTGTGGAAGTGCAAATAACTGATTATATAAACATCTGCAACTCTCCAACATGTGCCTATGCGTGCAACGTTTGTTCATATATTTAGCGTCATTTCATGGCGTGTCACACAATAAAAAATTGCAGCACGTTCACCTTCTCTCCGCATGCTTCGCATAACGTCGATTCCCAGGTACGTGGGAACTGCTGAATTTCGAATGTGAAGCATTTCTTAGCGAACTTCGGCTGCGTTTTTAGCGCGGAGTGAAAGGAAGACGCAATGAACTGTGATCCTATTTCTATGATCTTCATCAATCAAAACGGTATTATTTATTGATCATTGGTAAAAACTCCCCTCATAATACTTCTTCCGTTGAATTTCGCATAAAATCTGGCAATGAAACTAAACGGCATAGCTACTTTGGCTACATTTAGCTTGTGTTTTGCCCACTATTCAAATCCCCCAGTGGTGACCCTGTGAAGCGGCTACATTCTGTATTTAATGAATGCCTGAAAGCGGACACTTACCACACTGACTGTCTGCCGAATTACGCTTTTTCGTAGCTCAAATCAAAATGACTTCTCGTTGGCTAGTGAAAGATATAGAAGGTGAATGGCAAGACCGCGTTTCGAGATGCCTATGCACACATTACCGGGTGTCAGGTCGGGGAACACCTCTAACCGTTAGCAAGGCAGGTGGGTGCATGACAGCACTAGGTATAGAGCACGACTTCTTTGATACTGTCCTGCTAGATCAGAGTTTTCAGCTCGTACGCTCGTATTCGCGAAAACTACAAATGCCGCCCGCATCTTCCCTTGGGGGGACCCCGAGTAAATGAGTCGCAAAGTAGGTGGTCATCGCGTGAATGTTGCATAATTGGGTATGGTTCAGGAATACTTCATTAGTATTTCGTTTTTATTAATAGTATTTATTGAATGAAGGAGAAGCGTTGCCTTTAACGTCAAGTGAAGCCAAGTAAAGACGCCCTTGACTGAATTCTTAACACGCGATCCAGTGCCTACATATAGACGTCAGTCTCTGCCCAGGCGGCGCTGCGAAAAATGCCGCCACCAGCGCTTCATCGCCACACCAGTCATAAACGGGTAGTGCACGAAGAGCCATCCGCAAGCGAACGTGCATAGGCCCTCCTCTAACGTTGGCCTTTAGGCACGGTTTCCTGAATATCAAGGACCAGACAAGCTTCTTCCTTCAATCCAGCCTCGCTTCATAAAAGTAGGAAGTTCATCAAAACGAAATGCAGGCACAGTGTAAAAGATGTTTCATTTATTTCGGCGTGCTGCAACTGGTAATTTAAGTGCAAGCGAGCATCGCATGACATCGAGTTAGAGGCAAGCACTCCGACGTTACACACCAAATGAGGTCCTTGTTAAAGGCTAGCTATTCCTAGGAAACTATAGACGAAAAATGTCCTGTTTCTTGACTATATCTAGGACCTAAAGCGGGACCTGATTAAGAATGCAACGCCTAAATGCGTTATAATTGGGTATACACATGATGATAAAGCAATGAAGTACATGCAAGATCAATCTATGCGAGCAGGGGCACGAAGCTTGCTTTATCCGAGACGAATGACCCCGGTTCTTTTTGCTTTGCAGTTGAATCCTCCATCGATATCTCACTCCTGTGCATTGAACTGTTTTTTACGCATGCTCGAATGCTCTGTTGACGGTTGTCTTCTGTTTGCATATGCTATAAATGAGCATACATTCTTGTCCACTTTTTCAGTGTGCAACGAAAGGCAAAGCCAATGCCTCCAAGATAGCTCCGGTAACTGCGACCAACGGTAAAAAAAAAGGAACTGATTGTGGTCGCAATCATTTTGCGATTTACCTGTATGACGCGCGTGTTCCCATTTCCTAGTTAAAGCCTGGGCATAGAGCCTTTGGAGCCCTACGTGCGTAATGCTGTGTGGTGGCGACAACTTCAGAATATCGGGGTCACGGCGCGGGCGGTGTTTTTCGCGGGCGTCACCTGTCTACCGTTGCACGTCGCGCACCACAGTCAGAGGGTTTGTTAAACTTCATAATCAAAGTTACCATGGTTCTCGGTCAAGCATACTCAAAACAATAACAGGAGACCTACATTATCACACTTACTCAAGCGAACGGCTCTGGAGAAAGCGTGTAATACGCTGACCCAACACGTTCGCAACGGCCTGTATTTAGCGCTCTAGCCATTCTGATTTGCGAAAGCTGTGGAAATAAGTAAAACTGAAGTCGTTTACGTCCGTGGCAATTCACAGTGCAACAGTAGTGCAGACAGGGGTCTTTTTTTCGTAGAGCGTGGAGCTTTAACGTCTACTCTTGTTTTCGCCGTCGTTCAGGTAAGTGTGGTTAACCAGCAAGCACTTCACGGTGGTTCGGTAACGCGTCCGACTAGCAGAGAGAAATTCGTGGCTCTTTTTCTGAGTATTTATTGCGCAAATACATATACTGTTTCGCTCAATCGTTGTTTTGCACGCTGTAGTTGCACCTGGTCGCGCAGCAAACTGTGACGACAGGTGGCGCTGCGTGTCCGCAAAACTCCAGGGTTTGACATCTATACGGGCGGCCATTGAACGGTAGTGGAGCGCAAGCTGTCGTTTTCTTTCTTTTTTTACTAACAGACATTGCCTGGTCGACTTTGCGAGGCGACAGAGGGATGGGAGCGACAGTTAGACGGGTGCCTTCGTGAGCCGGCACGAGACGCGAGCATGCGACACGAGACGCGATTATGCACAGTGGGGATGTGGGCGGCACCACCAACGACGCCGAAGTGCGACATGGGGCTACTAAGAAATGCTCCTCATTTAAAATAACCCTATAAAGCTGCGTTCAATAGATTCCGGTGAATATGTTCTCCGAAAATGCGATTATTCGGCAGCTACGTACAGCACTTCGAGAAAGAGTAATCGTGTGATGTGTTCTGCAGCACAAAACACTTGTAGCGCCTCAATGCGCCGCTCGTCAAGGAAGAAGAAGTTGGCGTTTGGGCCGCGCGGCGGGTGCAGCGCGATAATAAAAAAAATCAGTTCGAAAACTGAACGCTGTCAGGGCTGGATCTTTCCCGTGTTAGCTCCGACAGTTAATGGTGACCCGATATGGAACACACAGCCCCGATCATCCCGCATGAATCCCGCCGGCTCTTCCACCAATCCTACCGGTCCTGACGCCCAAG